TCACTGGAAAAGTAACGAATCCGGTGCCATCGCGAATTAACCCTTTCCCAACGTTTTCAATACCGGTGATCGCTACAATGAACCCATGCCGGCCGCTGTAAAGAATAATCATTATAATAATGATAATACCACTAAGAATACAGAAAAAACACTCCAATTATTCATACCTGCAAGTGCCCTCCACGTCTTTCATGAGTTTTGTGACGAGTTTATCTCGGAGGTCGCGGCCAAAGTGGCGTGGGTGCAGCTGCATGTTCCGCTCCAATACTATGTGAAAAAACATCCCTTTTTTTCTTGAATTTTACCGTGACTAAAAATTCAGACAGCTGCTCCAAGAGACTTTTGGGGAAGGGGAGGGCCGGGGGGAGAAAGTTCAGACAGCTGCTCCGAGAGATTCAGGGCATTATTGAAGATACATGGAAAATTTCAGGTGCAGTCAATGAAATTTCATCGGAATCTCAATTGGTTTATTAAACTTCAATTTGTCTCAATTGAGACACTGATATTCGATTTAGTTTCACATTTCGCCACTTTGTTACATTTTGTCACCTATGGTCCCTCAAACAAACAGAAATTCCATAATTAACTATTAATTGCATAATAGTTATTTTTCACACCATGAAATTGAAAAAAGTAAAATAAAGGTTATGAAAACGCCTTTGGATTAAAAGGTTATTTTATCCTTTTTATTTTAACACTTTCACAAAGTGACGTAATGATAAATTGGTATATCAAGAAATAATTATGTCGAAAGTCCAAGATTGCGGACCAAGCAATTTTCATGAACCCATTCTACATATTCTTTTGAACTTCCACACCCTTTTCTAGTAACTATTGGCTCATGTACCATCTACATCTACATTGTGTTTGGAATGTCTTCGAACGACAAACTTGTTGCTCTTCCAAACGTTCACAAAACTTGAGCATGTATAATACAAATAGGTTGAGATTCTTGCCTTTCCGAGGAATTTTTTGTTCTGTGACCTCCATTCCTATGCCTTTACTTCATGTGCCTTGACAGGCAACACCACCCTTGTGCCTCGACCTCTTCGTTGACCTCCACTGCGTCTTAAGCGACCCCAACATGCGTCTTAACCCACACCAACAATCCTCCAAGTTCAAACTTGATATTCATATGTGATCGATTTCACAAGTTAAATGTCCATCGCTAGTTTTAATCAAGAGAAGCTCATTTATAATAACAAACAAAAGTTTAAATAAAATATTATTTGTATCAAAGAATTTTAACCAAAGTGTATATACATTCTATTTTTTCCCAATAAAAAGAAGAGGAGGATTTTTGTTGGAAGATATAAAATGTAAGAAAAAGCTCAAGTGGATATGATGTTTTGGTAACGTAACATAATCTTTGTCGAAAATTTTTCAATTATTAATTTTTTCTTCAAGGATTTCTATGTGGAAGGTTTACAAAATTGAAATCAAATCCAAACGAGTGATGAATGGAGAACAATTCTGAAAATTGAGAAACGATTGAAAACAATGTTTTGAAGTCCAGCGATGCTGCAGTCACGCGATCCACAGTGTTGTAATTTTTTAAACAATTAGTTCATTTTTGACAAGAATTATTTTTATTTTTATTTTTTTTTGGTTTTTTTGCACTATTGGACCTTGTCGCATTCGATTCCTATGGTTTGAGGACTTACCAATTGACTTTTAACAAAGCTCCATTTATCAACGTTTAATTCTCAGAAGTGGTCCTCTCCGTTCAAGGCCATCCAAAATGGTCGCACTGATAACAGACGCCTTATTCCATAAGGCCAACCCCAAAACCGTCTGCCACCACCCACCATCCAAAGACAAATGGCAGCGGCTGCCACCGCCAAAACAAATGCCAGCACCAGCAGCACCCCCACCATCACCCAAAGTGCCCCCGCAGACGAGTTCTTCATCTCTTTCCCCTCTTGCTTATGCATATATGTATATATTATGTATAACACCATGAATCTCATACTTCAAAATTTTACTACAACAAGAACCAAAACAGAGTGAATAAGAAAAATCATTTTCTATTATTTTTGTCCGCCATTGAATAATATGTACATATGTGCTGATATATGACAATGATTCCAACCCCAAGGCTAGTGCACTCTCATCTCTTCAAATCGAAGCTCACAAAAATCAAGAAATTTAAGTAGATAAAAGAAGGCAATGGCAGATCAATTGGCAAATTATCAGATCTCTAATTTCAAGGAAACCTTCAGCCTACATGGCAAAGATGGCGATATCCCTCCCCCCATCTCCCCTCTTTCATTTCATTTCTAGTACAGGCGATAATTCCACCTCCCCCCTCACCCCATCTTTCATTTCATTCATTCATGAAATTTATATCATTAATTGACGTGACACTGGTGGGAAAGTACAAGTAATTTTATCAAAGCACTCAGCAATTAACTGGAGGTAAGTGTAAATTCAACCATACACATACAGAATAACTGCAAAAAACTAGCGCGGCCGTATACTAAGAACTAGAGACTACTTGAGGCATCAAGATCCAAAATTGAAACGAAGAAAATTGATACTGACCAGGGCGTTCTTGAAGAACCAAGCCCAATGACCAAATTTCAGTTCACTAGAACTGCTTTCTATCGGCGGGTTTCAATATCTGAAACGAACACATCAAACTTTCATCAACACTCATCATTGCACCGGCATTGTCAAATTCACCACAATAGTTGGGAGCAGAAAAAATTGTAACTAGCTGCCTATCAGCAAAAAATTCATATCCATCTTCCACAACCTGCACGAGAAAGAATTCAAGAAACAGCAGAGACCGCAAAAAAGGATCAAAGAGATCAACAGAAAACTATATATTACCTGATGGGCACGACAAACAAGGTCCATATCATGCTGCATTAAAAATTCAGTCACCTTATCCGGACCAAATGTGTATGAGACTCCCCTGTCATTCATCCCCCAACCTCTAATTTCCCTAGTGGGATCCGACCATAGCAAGTCGCAAAGCAAACCAGAATCAGGAATATCAGTTGGGCGAGGTAAATTTCTTATTTGATCTAAGTTTGTTAGATCAGGAGAAAGACCACCATGCATGCAGAGTATTTTATCATCTATAAGAGCAGCCACAGGAAGGCAATTAAAACAATCAGTAAAGACTTTCCATAGTTTCACGTTGAAGCGGCGTTTACATTCATCATAGAATCCATATATCCTATTAATAGAAGCGCATTCATGATTTCCTCTCAAGACAAAGAAATTCTCGGGATATTTGATTTTGTAGGCAAGAAGAAGGCATATTGTCTCTAAACTATGTTTGCCACGGTCCACATAGTCCCCTAAGAACAAATAATTAGCCTCAGGAGGGAGTCCACCGTAGTCAAAAAGCCTTAAAAGATCTCCATATTGCCCATGAATGTCTCCTAGAATTCAGATACAACCATAATTTATAGTGAGACTCTTGTAAGAGAAAAAATAAGAAACAATGAGAAAGCTCCAATTGAAACCCAAATTTCATTCTCAGTACTTATTAACAAGGAGTAGAAAAACTAGACGAGTTATTGGCTCTTTCATATACAGACACAATACTGACTGGCATGCTAAAGTGAAATTTAGAATTGCGTGACGAAGAGAAAACGAATCCATCAGCAAACAACAGAATTTCAAATGATCAAATGTACTATTTCTACATTCTCAGATCTTTTATGCATGTAAAGGTCATTAAAAAAAGGCATATGCCACAAAAAAATGCAGAGTGCACATCCATCTTAGCTTTTCAATTTTCACAATGAATGCACACAAAATAAAGCAGCTGAGGCAAACCAAAGGGAGAATATGAGCTGATAAACTAAACCACCAATACAATCCTTCACATTTACAAAGTATCTATATAAATAATCCTTTTAAAAGGGATCTGTTATATTATAAAGCTCCAAGTGCAAACATTAATGTATTTAACCTTTTTTCAGGACCAACAATAGGTGACAACTTTAAATGGAAAGCACACATCACAATCACATTCAAAAGCTCAAAAAATTTCTTACGTGTTTACCTAGTGTTATCGGAATTAATATCTGGCAGTTATCTAATGCAAAATGTGTCACCAAATTCCCCCATAAGAAACTTTACAACTCAGACCCCACATAAACCAATTCCACGAAAAGTACTCGATGAAATTGCATTATCAAAACTGACTTTGATGGATTCAACCTCCAAGTCCAGGACTTAAAAAGGAAAAGCTTAAAATGTACCAAGAAAAAACATACAAGCTGCAAATCATTGAAGCCTCTAATAAATATTATTTCTTATTGCAGCCAATGTCAAAGACAAATGTATCATGTACAGCCCTAATATGTAAGTGATAGTGAAAGTTGTAATTCCAAGCAACATCGAGCCCTCTACTGTATGAGCAGGATCACTGTACAAACTAAGAATAACACATTTCTAGGTTTTCTAGATCCTTTTCAATCTCAAGAATTTTTAACAGGAGGAAGTTTATCAATGTCAATTACGATCATTTCAATTTTCTATTGAAATTCCCATATGGCATAGAAAACCCTGACACCACTACATCGATACAGATATTTTGATAATATAAACAGAATGCTAGAAATTAGTACTATAAAAAACAGCTTAAAGCATCTTACACTAACACTTCGAGTTTTTCTTCAGGGCAAAAAGAGAGGTTCTAGTAAAGTATGAAGAGGAAGACAAAGACCAATTTTAACACGATGTACGGAGTTGCAAAGAACAATTTAATAGGATGGAGGTGAACCGAATGGAATGGGAAAAAAAATAATACATGAAACTTACTCCAAATTTATTGAGAATAAGACCAGGTTTGTTGTTGTAGATTGGTATTTTTCTATTTTGATTTTTACTTTGGTTTATAATTGAAAAATTGATATCTGAATAAGTTATTTTCAATTGTTATGACTAGAGGAATGAGAGTTTACAATGGATTCAAATTTAAATCTGCTTCCATAAGGACCATAACGATAAAAATATTCCTTAGGCCACATACTAGCAACACAATAGTAATAATGTTGCTTGAGTGAAGAAGTCTATTGATTTTGTTCATATGCTAATGGGAATTTTAATCACGATATTACCTAGATAGCATTTTTATGTACAAGACAATTCGCTATTGTATGATTTCGACTCTCAATTCAAATCTCACAGCGATGTACTCATTTATTGTGCGCCACGGAAACTAACATTAGCGACACATATCAATCCAAATGCAAAAATCGCCAAATGGACATTAAGAAAATTTTGAAAAGAAAAAATCAATGGCATGCAGTAAGTCACCAAAGGATAATTCGGAATGTATGCTGCGAATATAAAAATATTCAATTCCCAGATCAAAACCAGAATTGCAACAATTCCCCTACCAGGCCAAATTCCAAAAGAATAACATACACAACATTTCCCAAAGAAAACCAATTTACTCTTTTCCTCACACTACCAATCACCCTCATGGCTAGCATATTCAAACAAAAAGAAAAGAGGAAGACAATTGTTAACGTATATTCTATTATCTGTAACTCGTCCTTTGCTTTGAGCATTGGAAACTACAAAAAACTAAAACATAAAATTCCATCAAAGAAATCTCATTATTTTTCCCATATTCAAAGACTCTAAAACCAATGATTTTACACGACACGTTATCGAATAAGGAAAAAAATGCAAGCTTGACGAGGAAGAATACCGCAGATCTTAATAGGAGCTTCGAGTTCAAGAAGATTGGGTTGCGAGAGGAAAATTTCGCGGGACGTGGTACAGAGAGCTCGAACCTCATTTTCCGAAAGCTGTAACTGGTGCGGTGTCCTAGGGTTCCTGAACTCCAAGAGGCGGTTGATAATATAATCTAGAACAGCAGGCTCAATTCCTCCCTGTCCATTTGCCGCCATTTCTCCCTCCTCCTATTCCCTAAAACTGTAACAAAATAACAAACCCTAATTTCACCCGCCCAAAAAAGAAAAGCAAAGAATGAAAAAATCAATTCTTGAGGTTTCAATTGTTCTGCTGTAAACAAGGGAGAAAATAATGAAATGAAAGATAAGCAAAGAAAAATAGGAAGAGCAAGGGAAGAAGGGAAGGCGGAAAGCACTGTAACTCTTTATCTCAACATTCTCATTGAACGTATACATACTTTAAAATTTCTGCGTTAGTCCCTCACCTTTGGCCTTTATAGCAAATTGGCTCCACTCATCCCTCTTAGATTCGTATCTCACACAATGAAAGAACATAACATGGGGAACTTCACTTGGGACCAATAGGTTGGGACGCCTCCTCTCTAGTACTTGGAGACATTAATAAAATCCAAACAATACTGAAACGTATAAGTGACAACAAGCTCTATATACACGTCTGTTGCATTTTCAAAAGTGTGAACTTTCTCAAGCAATAGTTCACATGATGAAACCAATAGTTCAACAGGCTTTGAGGTATTGCAATTTACCAAGATATTGCATCATTTCTTTTAGTGGTTTGCTGAGAAGAATAAAGTATAAAACAAAATTTAATGCATACTTTGACAAATCCATAAAGGGAAGAAAAGTTTCCTTAAAGGGAAGAAAAGTTGGATCATTCTTCTCTTATAATATTAAACAAAAGAATTTAATTTGTATGACATCGTTTTCATTTGGAAATATGATGATCTCATAAAGAGAAGTCAATGGGGGAAGATCTTATGATTTGAAAACTGTAATCTTAAATGTGTCATGTTGAAGAATGAAGGAAAAGTAGATTGCCACGTGGACAAGCCATATCGGCAAGGTGGCCACATGAACGAACCATATCAGCAACACCATCAAGGCATTCTAGAAAGAGGAAGAAGCTGCAAATTGCATTAAAAATATATAATAGATGCCAGTTAAAAGAAGTGTGTAGAATATGTAGATCTCTCTCTCTCTCTCTCTCTCTCCAATTTTGTTAGGCAGTTGATTTTAGCACTCATTTTGTTGTATATATATGGTGTGATTGTTTAACATTTTAATAAGAAAGAATTTACATTTTTCTTCCATTCTTTAGCTCAAACAATTTCTCTTTGCATCTTCATTTTCTGATATGGTATCAGAGCATAGTTAACAATGGCCAACGAACACTACACAGAAGCTCAATCTATTACACATGAAGATCCAAATTCAAATGCTCAATCTATTGCACTTCAGGATCCTAATCCGAATCCGCAGTAAAATCAAAATGCTTGCCCCGCACCAAACCATTATGATCCCACTCACCTTCACTGCCCATACTGGAGGGAACGATAGTTTTGGGACCATACTGGTTACTCACATTTTAGACAACACAAACTATTACGCTTGGGCTAGGCCCATGAAGAGGGTGCTTAGAATTAAAAACAAACTTGGTTTTATTGATGGAAGTTTGACAGAACCCACAGATCCTAACAATTTTCTAATGCAACATTGGCTTCGCTGCAATGATCTTGTAACTGCCTGGCTACAAAACACCATGTCTGTTGAAGTTAAAACCAGTACTTTGTGTGCAGACACTGCTAGAGAGCTTTGGCTAGAGCTTGAACACCGGTTAGGCCAGCAGAATGCACCTCAAGTCTATGTAGTAAAACAAGCTATCAATACCTTGATGCAAAATCAAGATGTTGTGCGTATTTACTTTTCAAAATATAAAGCTCTCATGGATGAGTTGATGAATTATGAATCTATACCTAATTGCACAAGTGGAGGACTTCGTACTATCATTGATAACCAGCAAAGAGATTGGGTGATGCAGTTCCTTATGGAATTTAATGAATTCTACAAAGACCAAATCCTTCTTATTAAGCCTCTCCCGGGACTAAATGAAGTATATTCTATTATACAACAATAGGAAAAGAGGAGACTAATTTCAATGGACTCCACTGCTACTGAATCAATGGCAATGATGGGAAGATGAACTCGAAATGGAAATCAGTTCACAGCTAACCGAACTGCCAAATATTTTTGAACTCACTGTAAGATTGCTGGTCATTCATTGGAGAGATGTCTTAAGGCTAACAAACAATTATGCTCTTATTATGACATGTCTGGTCACAGCATAGACAAGTGCTTCAAATTCATGGATATCCCCCATGACACAAGTTGTACAACAAGGGAAAATCTGTTGGTTCCTTAGCTAATCAAGTTACTGGCATGATCATGCAGGAACACAAGCATATTGAAATTGCTGGTAGAGCTCAATCTCCCATCACGCAAAAGCAATACAACCAACTAATTGCACTCCTCAATAAATACAACAATCCTACCACAACTCATTCAACAAATCAAGTTCAATCTAACATTAGCCCTTGCACTACTGAGGTTCAAATGCCCACTATATCTGGTATATCTTTATGTCTTTCTGCTTGTGCATCAAAATTCCTAGCAAACACACCATAGATTCTAGACACAAGTGCTACAGATCACATGGTCTGTGATATCTCTCTGCTCACTAAGGTCACAGCACAAGTTACCTATTCTGTTACACTTCCTAATGGCAATAGTGTTGTTGTTACTCATATAGGGACGGTAAGAATTTCAGAAACACTAATTCTGCATGATGTACTGTGTGTTCCATACTTTTCCTTCAATTTAATCTCAGCTAGAAAATTGGCTACTTCTTTGAACTGTTGTCTCATTTTCTTATCTCAAATATGCTTCATTAAGGACCTTTTGACCTAGAGAATGATTGAAATGTGTGAAGTGAGGCATGGCTTATACTATCTACAGAAAAATGGAGTCTTACCATCAGCCTTCTTTGATACTTCAACTACCACAACAGTTGTTGCCATGCAAATTGAAGAATTTGATCTCTGGCATTATAGATTAGGGCATCCTTCATCTACCATTCTTAAGTCTTTAAGCAACAACAAAAACTCCAAGCCCTGCATGATCTGTCCTTTGGCCAAAATGCATAAACCACATTTCCCCGTTAGTCAACATCAATCAGAAAAATGTTTCGATTTAGTTCATTGTGATATTTGAGGACCATGTAATGAGGTAGCCTATGATGGCTCAAAGTACTTCTTAACAACAGTGGAAGATTACAACAAATGCATTTGGATCTATACTTTGATAAACAATTTTGATGCTAGCACTGTTTTACAAGGCTTTTGTAACATGATTGAAAACCAATTTCAAACCAAAATCAAGATAATCAGGAATGATTGGTAGAAAATTCAATATGAAAACCTTTTTTCCATGAGAAAGGAATCATACATCAAAAATCTTGTGTTGAAACTCCACAACAAAATTCAGTTGTGGAGATGAAGCACCAACAGATTCTCAATGTAGCAAGAGCATTAAGATTTCAAAGTGGAATTCCCATAAAATATTGGAATGATAGTGTGCTAACAGCAATTTACCTCATAAACAGAACTCCCTAACTTCTCTTAAATCACAAAACACCTTTTGAACTCCTTCTTAAAATCAAGCCAAAGTATTCTCATCTCAAAGTCTTTGGATGTTTAGCTTTTGCCACTACCCTGGTTCAAGGCAGATATAAATTCGATCCAAGAGCTAGACGATATGCCTTCTTGGGTTGCCCATTTGGAATGAAAGGATACAAGCTGCTGGACTTAGAGACTAAGAAAATCTTTGTCTCAAGGAATGTCATATTCCATGAAAATGTCTTCCCTTACAAAAAGGATGATCAGCCAAATGCCAAGAGAGTGCCTGACCTATCAAACTTACCTTTTGCTCAAACTTTAGATATAAATAAATATCATACAACTGATCCTCGAAGTTTACAACTTGATGAATCATATGACAATGATAACATACTACCACATGACCAGACTACATCACCAAATATTAATACACCATCGGCGGACTCAAGCCTTAGAAACTCTGAAAATAAATCAGAATCAATACCAAAAAATCCCTCAAACCAACCAGAAAACACATCACCTAATACTAGTCCTCATCTACCAAGACGATTCACCAGAATCGGAAAAAACACCTTCATATTTACAGAACTTCATTTGCCAGCAAGCCAGCTCATCCACCCAATTTCAAAAGTTCAAAGGGTAGAAGGTTCGTCTAACCTCAGGTAATCCCTTCCCACTTGAAGCAACTGTTAGTCTTGATAAATTGTCACAAGTACACAAAGCTATAGTGAAGCACAAAGTTATAGTGAAGCACTAGAATCCTCATATTAGTCCAAGGCTATGTAGAACGAGATTGATGCTTTTGAAAAAAATCATACATGGGCAATCACAGACTTGCCAGATGGAAAATCAGTTATTGGATGTAAGTGAGTTTTTAAAATCAAGTACAATTTAGATGGATCAATAGAGAGGTACAAGGCACGTCTAGTTGCAAAATGATACACTCGGCAGGAAGGTCTAAATTACAACGAGACCTTTTCACCGGTAGCAAAAATGGTTATTGTCAGAATTCTATTAGCGGTGGCAACCATAAAAGGGTAGACTCTACACCAATTTGATGTAACTAACGCATTTTTACATGGTGATTTAAGTGAGGAAGTATATATGGAATTACCTCCAGGTTACTCAAAGGCATCCTACCCAAAAGTGTGTAGATTGCTCAAAAGTCTATATGGCTTGAAGCAAGCTTCATGCCAATGGTATTCAAAATTGTCAACCTTCCTTACAAACTTGGGGTTCGTTCAGTCAAAAGCTAATTACAGTTTGTTTACTAAGTCTCAAAGAAACTCATTTACGACAATCTTGGTATATGTAGATGATATATTGTGGCCAGTGATGATGTGAAATCTATTAAATCCTTAAGACACTTATTGAATGAAAAGTTCAGGATTAAGGACTTATAAGTGTTGAAATACCTTCTTGGGATCGAGATAGCAAGATCAAAGGAAGCAATTATGGTTTGTCAAAGAAAATATGCTCCAGACATATTGACAGATTCAGGCACAATTGGAGCTATGCCGGCAAGAATTCCCTTAGACCAGAATGTCAAGTTGTTCAGCAATGAAGGAGAATTGCTTGAAGATCCATCCATGTACAGAAGGCTCATTGGAAGGCTTCTCTACTTAACTGTGACTAGACCTGATATATCTTATGCTATCCAGCTCTTAAGCCAGTACATGGACAAACCTAGAATTCTAGATCTCAATGCAGCACATAAAGTGCTTCTCTATATCAAGAGAAGCCCAGGTCAAGGACTGATGTATCCATCATCATCGGTGCTGCAACTTCAGGCCTATAGCGACTCTGTTGAAGAATGAAGGAAAAGTAGATTGCCACGTGGACAAGCCATATCGGCAAGGTGGCCACATAAACAAAACATATTAGCACACCAGCAAGGCATTCTAGAAGGAGGAAGAAGTTGCAAATTACATGAAGAATATATAATAGATGCTGGCTAAAAAAAGTGTGTAGAATATGTAGATTCCCTTCTCTCTCCAATTCTGTTAGGCAGTTGTTTTTAGCACTCATTTTGTTGTGTATATATGGTGTGATTGCATACGGTTTTAATAAGAAAGAATATACAAATTTCTTCCATTCTTTAGCTCAAACAATTTCTCTTCGCATCTTCATTTTCTGATATGTCATGAGCTTAATGATAGTTAATATAGACATCACTATAAGAAATCGACTCTCTAGTTTGTGATAGAATCAAATTCAGACCAGTCTTAAGTAACTAACCACGAGAAAATCTCGATATTTTTTCCATGATTGCATAATCTTTATAGTTGCCATCATCACGAGTCTTCTATGTGTATATTTGATTATTCACCTTATTAGTCTTCTACGAGAAGTTATGCAAGATAGGTAATTGTTTGAATTCATTGCATTTGACAGTATTTGATGGTGAAATATGACCAAATAAACCAGTTCCCTCTTTGGAGTGCTGGAAGAGGTTATTTGATTGAAATCTATAACAGAAGTTTCAATGGCTTTGCAGAGAAGCTCAATGCGACGGAGAAGCAATCACTTGCCACTAAACAAGCTTTTATGTCTTAATTTGCAGTACGAGATTAATTTGGTGACCTGGCTCTATTTGTAGAGGCCAGTGTAAGAAAGAAGACGACTAAATGAAATTAGCAACAATTTTATGTATGTCTAAATGGAGTTGTTTCTACGTTTTCCAGTAAAACAGTCGAGCTCCATATGACAAGAACCTGAGATTTCATGGCTTCTCTCAGAGTGTTCGAGAGATGCTCTGCTATTTTCAGCGACGTGATAATTGGTGTTATTGACTCCGAAATTTGGCTGGAGATTGAGAGCTTTAGTGAGGAAGACCTTGGTCCTCCCCATTACAAATGGAAAGTTCTTATAATTAGGGGAAACAATTTACATGTAATTAACAAGTAATGATTCTTTCTATACCAGATGCTTTATGGATTTTATCGAGCTCAAATTTGATGTCCCCACAAGATTTTTGTTTGCTCAGAACGTGGTGTCTTCTTAGCAAATAGAAAGACATCGTACACATTTTTTGATATGGAGTCTTCTCATTTGCTAAGTAGACGTGATGTGCTGAAGTGTCAAAAATGCATTCAGGGGACACAACTGTCGATCTCGACTCGATTTTGTCATGTGCAAGCTATATTATTGACTAGTATTGATGCGACTAATTTTGATATGGATATGCAGCAAAATTGTTGGAGCTCGGTTCTGAGCTTGTATGATCATCATGATCATACAAGCTTTTGTAGTAGCTGGAATATTGTGAAGAGCGTGAGCTTTTACGAGCTGGCAAAAGGAAATTTAAGAGGAGGTGTTCCACCCGCAAGGATTATTGTATATAAAGTATGCCATCCGAATGTAGGGTGCAAGTATGAAGATGTTCTATCTGCCTTCGATGAAGCTATTTGTAACTCTCATAATCTAGATAACCTAAATTTAGAAGTATTATCATTTAATTCTCTTAAAGTTATAGATGCAGATAACGATTAAATTTTTCTTTAATATAAAAAAATCGGTGACTTCATTTATGAAAATAATTTGTAGAATATTTTTGTACTTAATAAAAATAAGACAATTAAAATGTGTTTTTTTTTAAAAAACGAAGTCAATATTTGAATTATGTTCGTAGTAAGTCCTTCTCGCCACAAATAGTCATCTCAAATCATCTTACATTTATCATCTGAAAAATAGGGAGGGACAAAGTGGAATGAGCTTAACGCTCAGTAATTAGCAAACATCGTGCATACGATTCATGCTTATGATATGCATTTGAATTAATTTAAAATAAATATTTTTTTCAATAAAAATCTTTTTCTGCATTAATTTTTTTTT